TGCAATGGCGCGATCTCGGCTCACCGCAACCTCTGCCTCCTGGGTTCGGGCAATTCTCCTGCCTCAGCCTCCCGAGTAGCTGGGATTACAGGCGCGCGCCACCACGCCCAGCTAATTTTTTGTATTTTTAGTAGAGACGGGGTTTCACCATGTTGACCAGGATGGTCTCGATCTCTTGACCTTGTGATCCACCCGCCTCGGCCTCCCAAAGTGCTGGGATTACAGGCATGAGCCACTGCGCCCAGCTACCATCTAGGTTTTTGTCAGTACACTCTTATGATGTTTGCACGACAAAATATGCCTGACGACATATTTCTCAGAACGTATCCTTTTTAAGCAACACGTGACTGTATTGTGTAAAATCCCCATAGTAATATATACATAATAATATATAGTACCTGCACATAGAATGTTACGTGTAATTTTCACAAACTCATTGTAGCACTGTGCTAAAATATGTAGCCATACATATATATTTCAGATAAGGTATGACAGTACTATTTTTTAAATGATGAAATTTGGTGAGTGTCTTCATTTATCTCTGCCACTTCAGTGTTTGGACCTAACTATTAACAAAGGAGTCTACTTAATGTCATTTGTTTGTGACAGATGTCAGGCAGATGTATTTTATAGCTTTATTGTCAGTGGTGAGATTTTTCCAAGTAGTGAACATTTTGATAAAAGTTCCAAACAGAATTAAGTTTCGTACAGTACAATTTGCATAGCAGCTGTATTCCTGGAAAATTCAGCATGGTGTGCTAAGCAGATTTTGGTTCTAGACTCAATTATAAGAAGCTTGTTTTCAGATGTTAGTTCTTTGGGAGACATGCGTAGTACACAGTAGGCATCCCTGGCCTCCTTTGACTAAATATCAGTGCACTTTCATCTAGAGCAGTGCTGTCCAGTGAGTCAGATAGGCAGTTTTAAGTTTTTTAGTAGCCAACAGCTGGAATTTTAATTATATTTATTAACCAGATATATCTAAAATACTTATATAATCAATATAAAAATTAATGTGATAATTTGCATTTGTTTTCCCCTAAGTCTTGGAATTTAGTGTGTATTTTACACATACAGAAAAATACCAATTTATACTAGCCATGTTTCTAGTATTCAGTAGCTATGTGTGGCCAGTGACTGTCATTGAAGAGCCCAAATGAGAGGGATTAACTCTATAGCCAAGTGTCAGATTGTTGATACTTATTGTGATACATTTTTCCCTCCCCCAAGGGACAAAGCCTAGTTAGCTATAAATTTTGCTTTTCACCACCAAGTTTCTTGATACACAGTTGGTAAATTGCAGAATGGTGTTATTATAAACTGAAGTTGTATTGGTTCATGTGTAAAGAAATTTTTTAGTCAAGGAGAATCAGAATAGTAGAAGGTAGGGTTATTACCTTCAGATAGAAAGGAAAAAGCCCCCAACCAAGCAAGAATCCCTAAAGAAAATTCAAGTCGGCTTTCCTAGCCTTGCATGGCTCTCTGTGGCAAGTCACACTTTACTGTGTGTCCATATTAATTATATCCTCAGTGCTCAGAACTTCGCTTCCATTTCCATGTTCTTAGCCCCAAATAGCTGCATTTTTATCCTAATGTATTTTGCATTATTATCACTTGGAAGTCATTTATATCCATGCTGAACTGCTCGCCTGTGCTATTCAGGTTTTTATTAGTGCTCTGATAATAAAGTTACATAATTTTGAGTGGTTTTGTTCCTATTCTATTTTTTTCCATAAGACTTATTAGTGTGCAGTTTTACAGAATTCAAGATTTTTCAAGGAAAACATACATCATGTTATAGCAGAAATACCCATTACAGATATGTGGCTTTCTTGGTGAAACCCTTTTTTTTTTTAAGTGCTTGTGGCCGCTGGTTAGGAGCCTTTTGATGAAAGGTGAAGGACCCTGGAAGGCAGTACAACATGTAGAATAACAGGAAGAAGATCCTTGGGAAGGTACTAGAAAAGACAGGAAGAGACAGTCATCTCTGTAAGTGAAGAGAGTATGTCATCTCTGTAAGTGAAGAGTACAGTCATCTCTGTAAGTGAAGAGGGTATGATTACCAGTTTATTTTAGCATATTGCTTATCTTTTCAAGGGAGATTTGTTGAGTATCCTCTACCATTTGACTTTGTAAACCTATGTTTCCCAGTGTGTGGCCTAGGTGCTAACTATACTAGAACTGTCCTGGGAATGCCCTTTAAAAATTCAGGTCTTAAGCCAGGCATGGTGGCTCACGCCTGTAATCCCAGCACTTCGGGAGACCGAGGCAGGTGGGTCACTTGAGGACAGGAGTTTGTGACCAGCCTGGCCAACACAGCAAACAACTCTACTAAAAATACCAAAATTAGTTGGGCGGTGTGGTGGCTCACACGTGTGGTGCCAGCTACTCAGGAGGCTGAGGCATAAGAATTGCTTGAGCCCAGGAGGCAGAGTTTCCAGTGAGCCGAGGTCGTGCCACTGCACTCCAGCTTGGGTGACAGAGTGAGATTTTGTCTTAAAAAAATTTCAAAATTACTGTGAATTAGAATCTCTGAGAAAGACAACGTTGAAATCTACAATCGTTAATAACTAAAGTTTCAAATCCACTTCTGAGCTTTATTCAGTCTTACCTGTTAACTTGCATTTGTTTGAAAGCAATATGGGATGGTAAATGTCTTTGAATTATTTCATTTCATATATAGATACACTTATTCCTTCTTTAGTGTCTTTATTCTTTTTTAGACACTAAGACTTCTAAGTTTGAGGATCTGGTAATGAATTCTGGTCGTTGTCGTGGTCTGAATAAGGACATAAATGCTATAATATTGTGCTCCTGAGTAGACTGAAAACTGTTGTTCCACCTTTTCTAAAGCTGGTTGCCTTTCCCACTGTCATTTAATCATGTAAAATTGTGTATTTTCCTCCTGCTTTCCTAATAACCCTGGTTCCCTTTTGTAAGTGGAAGGGCATTGTCAATTGCTTAATATCCATTTCTTGCTGAGTCAAGTATGTTTTGATAAGTATTTTTTGGACCGTTTTCTGATTATTCTCCTAGAGCCCTTACTGTTTGAAACTATAGGTTATGTCCTTCTCATCCTTAAAATTTAGCTTCTGAAGTTTTAAGAGGTTGCCAAATAGGGATTATTTTGTCAGAAATACTGAAGATTTTGTCAGGGGAAATGTCGTTCTCTTGTACCAACCCTTGGACTCTGGTCTGAAACTAGCATCCAGTCATGTTGTTACATCTCCATTTCATAATCTGCCCTGGTTCAGCACTGGAAGGGAGAATTTTCCTCACTATTTAGGTTCTTCAAGTTGCAAGCATAAGTATAGAATTCCCTTATCTGTTCTCCCCTTCTCCCGAAATCAAGTAATTCCCAATAGCATCTTTTTCTTTGAATCCTTTAAGACTTAACTTTCTTAGTCCTAACTTTATTAGTCCTAACTTTGGTATCTTGAGGTTGGTCTAAATGTAGCATTGAAAAACATTTTTATCCCACTTACTCACTGATACCGTTATTTCTTGAGTAGATGATCATTTATTGTCATTAAATAGCGAGCTTTTCTTTGGTAATATACAGAGTGCATAAAAGGTACTTGACTGTATAAACAGCATTGCCCCCGTTGCTTCATTGGGTCAATGTGTGACTCAGTGGGTTCTTACTTGGATATGTTCAGAAGTGTTACTATATTCTTTTTCTTAGCCTTAGACTCTGTATTATAATAAGAGGAATATAAAATTGTAGGGTCGCATATAAAAATTGATGTGAGATTTTTAAGGTAGATTTAAAAGCAATTTTGTGTTGTAGCACTTCTTTTCGGTATGATTCTAGAAAATCATGACCACCGTTACCCCAACCCTGGGGAGGATGTGCACAATCACTTTGCTGTTCTGCTTGTGTATTCAGTTTGAAAAGAGTTGCATGGAGAAAGTAAAAGGCTCAAATGAAATACCAAAGAAAAGTATGTAAGGTAGTATCAGCTGAAGCTTTTATTATGAGACAGTTAACTTTGTAACTTTGTTTACCTTATTATTGTCATGTTATTCAGGGTCAAATCTGCCATACCTTCAGGTCCTAAGGGCATCCTTCTTGTTGGAATCTAAAGATGTATTGACTGCCGTGCTTTGTATAAAGCCTTTTATGTGAATTTGAAATGTGCTTAATGATGTTAGTTTATTCTTAGTCTTTTACAAAAATATCTTCTCATCCTTTTCAAGTTTTGTTTTTGCTAAGCAGCCTCGGTAAATCTGCTCCATAGAATATGGAATCTGGTCCCTACCCAAAAAAGCTCCTGTCTTTGAAAATAATTTTCCTATCAACAACTGATTCCATTTTCTCTTTTAGAGAAGTCTTAGGCTGGTGTGCCTTGATGCTTTTGACTTTTGATTATTATGCTGTGCCTTCTAAAAACACATACACTAGACCTAAAAGTTAACTGGTAACTTCCATCAGGCTGGTGGAAGGCATACCATTTATTTAGAGGTAAGAGCTTAATTAATTGGAATGTTTGTTGGTATTTGAGTTTTCATTGGCTTTAGGAATAGTCACTAAAGTGGAGTGACTTCCTGGATCAAGACCTCATGAGAGATCAATAGACCTCTTTTATAATACACCTTATATTTGTAGAATACTCTACCTGTCATATCTTTCAACAAACTTTAATGTGGCACGTTCACAAATTTAAGCATAGGACGTATTGTGCAAGAATGTGTGCAAATAAATGTTAGAGTGGGATATCTAACCCAGGCTTTTTAATGGATTACACTGGGGTTTATTTCAGTCAGTCAAATTAGCCTTTTTCCTATTACTGTCAACAGACTTTTGGAAATTTTCATGGAAATCTCAACTCTACAAGTAGTGCATACATATTCTAGTAGTTCATATTAGTAGTCCTATTTCTTACTTGTATTGTTGTAAATCTGATTTTTAAAAAATCTTCAGGTATATCTGAAAAGTAGAAATTTCATCATAAATCTAATATTTTCTATGAAACTTGAAATATTACATTTCCTTCATTACTAAGCATTTTGGGATCGTAAAACCACTTGTGAGGTTTGGTGATTCGACTCTCAGGACCCAACATAATAATTATCATGACTGTGACTGACTACAGTAGAAGGTGCAAAGCGAAAAGGCCCATGGACAAGGCCAAAGGAATCCGGGTGTAATCCAAGTATCTCACACACGATGCACTTTATTCCTTCAGCAACAAATTGTGACACATTTTTGGAATGTTGTCACTAGAGATTTAGTGCAGACCACTTTTGCTGGATATAGGTACTCTTTGCCTTGCATGTACCAAAATTTCAGACTACAGTAGGAAAGCAGGTGTTCAGTACAAACCATATTATATACACAAACTGCTCAGGCACAATGAGCAATTATTATTATTATTTTTTAAGCCAGGTTCTCATTATATAACCCAGGCTGGTCTTGAACTCCTGGAGTCAAGGGATTCCCCTGCCTCTACCTCCTCAGTAGTTGGGACTACAGCAAGCCACTGTGCCTGGCCTCAGTAAGCACCTCTTTATCAGTTAGGGTTGTGAGATCCCTTTGGAAGTCCAGATTCCCACATGCCTACCAAGGGCTAGCTGTGCCAGAAGGCCTTTCTAAGGGTAGCAGTCTCAGGGCTTCTTGTCAACTTTTCCTGTATACTCTGCTTTTCTTTCCCTCCCCCTCTCCCCCTCTCCCCCTCCCCCTCTTCTCCTCTCCCCCCTCCCTTGAGATGGAGTCTCGCTCTTGGTGGAGTACTGTGGTGCAATCTCAGCTTCCTACGACCTCCACCTCCTGGGTTAAAGCAATTCTCCTGCCTCAGCCTCCCGAATAGCTGGAATTACAGGCACACACCACCTCGCCGAGCTAATTTTTGTATTTTTGGTAGAGATGGGGTATCACCATGTTGGCCAGGCTGGTCTTGAACTCTTGACCTCAGGTGATTGACCCACCTCAGCCTCCCAAAGTGTTCAGCTTATTTTTGACTGATTTCTTCTTGATTATGTTTATTCTTAGAGCATTTACTGAGGTTTTATTTATTGCTTCCTGTTATTTAAAAAGGGGGTTAGGGTATTCTTTCTATATAAATAGAATACTGTACAGCAAGATAAAATAAGTAGAAGAACTTATCAGATATCTCGAGCATTAGGCTTCTTAGGAAATGTCCTCTATAATACCACTGGCGTTGTTCTTAAGTAACCATTGTACTTAGTTAATTCTCTGATCTTTTGTGATAATCACTAGCTTCCTTGGGTCTTTGAATCTGCTTGTAGTTTCCATTATAAGCATACCCTTATCTGAGGGTAAATCTTGGCCATTGCCTTTTTTCTTGTCATATCCTTTTTTCATCCATGAACTTTCAGTGCTTGCTGCTTAATGCAAAGCAGTCTCCTCTCCTACCTTTGACCTCTAATAGACAAGACTTTGAAACCCACATCTACACCTTTTCTTCTGAATTCCTAGTACTCTGTTGATCTGACCATTTTCACTTGGATATCGAAAACCTTATAGTCATCATCTGTGTCTCAGTTCACCTTTCCTCTTACCATTTAATTGTTTCTATTGATTGAAATAGTATTTCTAACTCATTTCTACTTTTATCCACCCTGGTTTTAACTGATAATTCCTGGCCTCTGGAGCATTTAAATTGCTCTCTGCACTTTGAGTTTTTGTTCATAATACTGTAGCCTCTATGCCACCGCCAGCTCATTTATTAAAACATACCAGTTGGATTATGTTGCTTTGTTGCTGAAAAATCTATAATTACGTGGAATGAAATTGAAAACTAACAGACTTCTGTGGTGAACCTTTCTGTTTCATTCATCGGTATTTTTGCAAGTCAGGATTTTTATACCCTGGTTTTTCTTAAAGCAAGAGAAACTGGTCATTGACATGTACATATTATTAATAAAACTCGAGTTACTCATAAGCAATTTTTAGACAGAGTTGGACTTGTTAGGAAAAGACTCTTGATGTCATCTTTATCCTCTTATAAGTGAGTCCCTTCCCTGAGACACTCTTTAACTTTTTGAAAAAGTTGTTGCTGTTTTATTTGAAAAATTGGCAAGACTATTGAAAGGCAAATAGGGGAAACTATTAGGAAATTGAAATACATTTGCAAAAACATACTGATAATAGTGACTTTTAGTTCTGTATTATTTGAGTTCTTGTCCCGTTTTTTCTGTGTACATTGTACTTTGTTTTTCTCCAGTAAAACTTTAAGAAAACCCAGATGTTGCTACAAATGATAAAGATAAGGTTTTTCTCTTAAAAAAAAGGTCTCTGTTATATGCTGTTGTTCCAGGGCATATCAGGTTAACAACTATAGTATA